AAAAAAAGGTTCTGCTACCGGACGCCGGAAGACCTCCCCCCGGGGGACAATCGCTTTGGGCTTTCACCCAACAGCCTGTATTAGTATTCAGACTCGGACTCGGTCTCAGTCTCGGTTTCGGACTCGGACTCAGACTCGGTCTCGGTCTCAGTCTCAGTTCCATCTCGGACTCCATCTCGGGTCCATCTCAGACTCCATCTCAGGTCCATCTCAGACTCATCTCGGGTTTATCTCAAACTCCATCTCGGGTCCATCTCAGACTCCATCTCGAGTCCATCTCGAACTCTATTTCGGGTCCATCTCAAACTCTATCTCAGGTCCATCTCAGACTCATCTCGGGTTTATCTCAAACTCCATCTCGGGTCCATCTCAGACTCCATCTCGAGTCCATCTCGAACTCTATTTCGGGTCCATCTCAAACTCTATCTCAGGTCCATCTCGGACTCCATCTCAAACTCCATCTCGGGTCCATCTCAAGTCCCTTTTCTAGAGACTCACTTATTGCTCACTTCATGCTTGTTCTTTAAGCACTTCATTGGGAGTTCCACTCCCACTCTTGACCTTTTAAGTCAGAGCTTTTAATCCAAACATGTTACGCTTGTTTGGCTTTCACTTCAGCCATTACCACATAGCACCTTTTTGGCTCCACTTTGGGGCTTAGGGATTTGTGTCTCACATCTGCATCTAAAGTTCCCCTAGTGGCCAAGAACTTCTTCACATTGGCTAGCCAAGCAAGACACTCGTCCACACCACCATCACCAGAAAAGGTTGGAATCTTGAGTCAATCTACCAAGAAAGGTTTACTTGGAGCGCCACCATGTCGAGCTTCGAGTCCCTCAACACACTTACGCATGGTATCCATCATGCCATGCATCTCGTCTTGCATCTCGTCTTGCATCTCTTGCTGATTTTGATTAAGGGCTCGCAGCCCATGAACAACATCTTGAATGGTCCAAACCTCTGCAGCTCCATTGACACTATTATCAGCACCACCATCAACAATAGGATTCTAGCATTCAACTTGGTCGGCCATCGCAACCAGCTCCTTTGATACCAATGTTATGATCAAGCTAAAAAGATAGAGATATAGTCTTCCGAGACTACATTATGCCTCCTCTTGAAGTTCCTCACCACCCAACCACCCCTGAGCTACCTCAAAAACTCCATTGCACTGCCACTCCATTGTAATAACATGCTTTCATATACCCTTGAGCCCCCTTTGACCAACATTGACCATGTGGTCAAAGCTGGTGCCTAACAAGGTGAGGGATGTGAGGCCAATGCTAGTGGTGTAGGCACCAAAGAAAAGGACAAACAACTAGCTGCTGCCAATGTCATTGGCCTCAACTCTCCCTGCCACCATTTGTTTTACCTTAAAGTTCTGCTGTGCTTGCTGAAAGAAGCCAGGTTAGTATGTTGGGCACCACCATCTTCTGATTCACAGAGCCCAACTTAACATACACACTGACAGTAAAGCTGCATGACTCCCTTTTACATGCTTTTCTTTTCCATCCCAAGCCAAGGAATGAATAGACTTTTATTGCACCATAGGATGTCATAATTATTATTGTAATTTCTTTGTACATACTTTGATAAGGCAATCTTAGGAAGATCTCATTTTGGTAATTTTTGAAGGAAATGATAGTTCATGGGCATTGGGAATGCATATTTCCATTGCATCACTCCACCAAGCAAGATAATAGTAATACAGTTACTCATTAGCATTTAGACCCCACCTCTGTTGGGCAAACAAATATAAATTTTCAATGAGCAGTATACAAACATCCACTTTTTGCTATCGAATTGGCAGCAACAGTGAATTCCTGAAGTACCATTATACTCTTTCTTTCGGTTTGAAGTTTTACTTAATCAACTTAGCCGCAAAGACTCATGGCAGAGCTCATTGTCATTGGATAAATTGCTAGAAGACTTGCTAGCAAGGAGAGAATGCTGCTATATTTCCTCCTTTTCCCCTCTTCCATTTATTTTTTGATAAACTGTGGCCTACCAGCCTTAGAAAAGGACAAACCCAGGATCTTTGCCAGTAATTCTTCCCCTCTTCTATATAGCAAGAGTGGATGCAAGTGCTTAGCACTTGCATCATGCACCTACAAAGTTACTGTGACTAGCTTGTACCACCAAAAGCTGTAAATGACTATTAACACTTTTTTAGACATGGCTATCTCTTTTTATTTTTTTCGGACTTACACGTTGTTCTGCTCCAAAGTATATATAACAACATCTTTTCATTTTACTTTCTCTACTTTTCCCAATGGAGCTGAGAGCCCGCTAGTTTCTAGTGTTATACATGTTTTTCTTCATTATGCAGATTATTAAATGTGTCTCAAGACTTTAACGTAGGGTCCATGTTTTTTCCAGAAATTTAAATGTTAGCTCCTCCATACATCCTGTATATACAAAAAAGAAACAAAAGCCAACAGAAGAAGCGACAAGTATTTTGCTGCAGCTTAACTTGTGCAAGGAGGAAGATACGTTGAGGGACTCTATTCGATTTTTTGGATCTTTCTGCATCACATTGAGGGACTCTATTCGATTTTTTGGATCTTTCTGCATCACGACCTCGTCAAGAGGAGTGTTCCCTTGAACTTTACTAAATGCAGGAAAACAGAAACACCACTATTGTGACAAAGGACGCGTGGCGTGCCCTCATTTAACACAAAGAGTGCGCTGTTTGAGTGCGCTGTTCTTGGACGCTACCATGGCGATGCTTGTTCTTCTCGTCCTGTTGGTCGTGGGTGCTTCGTCAGGTAAACTTAGCTACCATTGCGGCAATAACCATCAGTTTTGTAAAATTGCAGCAGGAGCGGAAAGATTTGGCATTAACTACGGACGAGTTGCTGATGATCTTCCATCTCCACTCCAGGTCGCAGCGCTAGCAAAACGGGAGAATATTACACACATAAAGATTTTCGATGCCGATCCTGTTGTTCTTCAAGCATTCAGGGGCACAGATGTTGGCGTTGTCGTCACAGTACCCAACGACGAAATACCTGCGGTAGCTGCAAACCTGCCTGGCGCACGGTTCTGGTTTGATGCATATGCTTCGCCCTTTATTGCGGAGATCACAACCATTTTAGTGGGCAACGAGGTCCTTAAATTCAGCCCACATATGTCGACAATCCTCGTTCCGGCGATGCAGAATCTCTACCAGATTTTGAGAGCCCACGATCTGGCAGATAAGATCAAGGTCTCGACGCCGCATGCCATGGACGTTCTTGAAAAGAACTCGTCCTCTCCGCCATCAAATGGAATGTTCCGCCAGCAACACGTCAGCACAATGCAAAATCTTCTAGAATTTCTGTCCATCAGCCGCTCGTTCTTTGTGCTCAATGTTTATCCTTACTTCGCCTTTAGGGAGGACAAGGGCGCCACACTCTCTGCCGAATTCGCTCTGCTCCAGTCCCCTAAAAACTCAGTCACGGATCCGAACACCAGCTTTCGGTACAGCAATCTGCTAGATGCTCAGCTAGATGCAGTGTATGCCGCCATAGAGAAACTGGGATACATGAATCTACAGATTGTGATTGGGGAAACGGGATGGCCAACGGCTGGGGGCTTCGGAGCAACAATGCAGAATGCAGCCATTTTTACGAGGAACATAATATGCCGTACCCAGGACGTAGAAGGGACACCAGCAAGGCCGGCTTATACCATTCAGGCTTTTGTGTTTTCAATGTTCAACGAGGATCTGAAGCACAACCTCATGGAACAGAACTTTGGTTTGTTTTATCCAAACATGACAAACGTGTATCCTTTTAAATTTTCGTCCGACTGTAAATGAGAGGATGGATTATTTTGAGATGAGAAGAAATAATAAATACTGCAGGCCTTTACCATAGGTCAGGCAGCAGCTGACTACATTCATTTTTTGTAGTTGTGTCACGTGTATCTTTATGGAACTCTTGCAAAGGCTCCAGTTTCCTGTTTTTCTTCACAAGATTACATCTAAAGGGAGCACTCGAGCCAACAATACTCCAATGTAAAGTTTAGTTCCGCATGACAATGAAAAATCCAGTGTTTAACCTTTTTTTGCAGAGCCTCTGCCTGCTGCGAATCTTCTGCACTTGATAACCCGCCTGTGCATTATCGGTCCAAGACAGAAATTTAAGCAGGAGTGTGGCGGTTTTTGTTACATTGTCATGTGCTAGCCTTTCCAAAACGGGAACCACAGAAGGAACCCTGCAGGCTCTCTTGATTTTGGATCTCTAAAACCAGCAGAATGGGCAAAAGAAAAAGAACAGAAAGCAGCACTTGAATTTCAGCGGTGGAAATGGACGTTTCACAAGGATTAATTCATTTAGTATACCTTTGACTCAGCGTCCTCCTGCTCCAATTGATCATCGCATGCAGCTGCATCCAGCTCCGCTTTCTCTACGGCAGCAGACGCATCCATTGATTGTGCATATGCTAAGAAATAGGCCTTATATGCATTTGCAGCGGCTGATGTGAGTGCTTCCGTATTCTTCTCGGCAGCCTCGGCAATGTCCTTTAATCTCGCAAATTCGTCAGTACCAACTGCTGCAGATGCAGCAAGGTAAGCGTCCGCTGCTTCTTCTGCCGCAACTGCTGCCAGACGTTCTGCTTCAGTCGCTGCTTCTGCTGCCAAAACCGATCGATCTGCTGCTGCCGACAATGTGTCCAGGAGATCATCTACCGATGGCAACCGCTTGTCCAAAAGTTTCTCACTGCAGGACGATGAAATGCCTGCGGTAGTTGACAACTGCTGAAGAGGAAATGCACTTTCCATGTTTATTGGCAGAATGACAACCTGGAACCAAAAAGAATTGCAACGAACGGTTGCACCCCAGTTTGAAAAGCAGAATGATCTGAACCGCTAGATACAAAAAGTGTGCAGATACTGATATATGCTGACGTTGTCAGGGACGTGGCACAACCCGACTGTTCATCCAGTTTGGTTCAAACGCCTTTAGATTTTCATGGATAAAATTTGTGGTTGCCAACAAAAAATCATATTCACAGACAACCGAATTAGACGCCCTCTAATGGTGAAGCTTGAGACAGACAAATGTGCTGCTTCTTTTGCATCATATTTTCAGTCATCTTGAGTGCATTATTAAGCATATCAACGATTAAGACAGTCGATCACAGGGCAAGTACCTTGATTTTCTTGCAAAGAAAAAAAGGAGCTACCCGGGTCAGATTATAAATCGAACTTGCCACCAAGCGCAAACATAGGTCCCTCTTTGAGAATGGTGAAGAATAATCTAGCTGAACTTAGTGCTTTGCATCAATCTATCCCTACGCTTCAAGAGCTTTGTGATCCACGGAGACCAAGATTTAGTTTACTTAGTTGAGAATGTCCTTCATTGCAGCAATGACAAAAATGGTGCCACCAGGATCCCATCAATGCTGCTCGTGGTGGAGCTTTTCCCACGGACGGGGATCCAGGATGGCTTATTTGTTTGAAGCTTAATCTGATTTACATAACCTTGCCGTATAAAGTTACATGTTTAAATTTGCGAAGAGACTAGCGCCTTAACGTTAATCATTAGGTGGGACACCGAAAAATAGAAGTTTTGATTGAAAGAAAAGCTTGACCACAAATGCATATTTATGAATGAAAGAATTTGCTGGGAAAAAATATTGCATTGACAAAATAAGATGTGGCTCAGAGTGATACTAAAGGGAACGGTCTAATGATATTGAAACATTCCTTGGTAGAAACATGCGGGCTATTCTTTTGGGTCACCACGCCATCACGATAAGCTTGAGAATGATCTCTCGTTATCTGTGGTAACATATGTAGAAATCTACCTAATAGGTAGATTTACTGATCCTGCCAAGTCAATTATAATATTTTGCTTCTTCAAAGAACTGATGTACTGCCAAAACTCAGTTTCGAAATGGACACAGTGGTCTTCCTTCCTGTCTTATGATTCATTTCGTTTATCTGGCCGTTGAAACTATGAAGTGGTGATGACTCTGCAAGCATAAGAAGTGCTAAGCAAGCAGACACTATATGCGAGCTTCAAATTAACATTTGCTTACATTGAAGGAGAGGAAGAAAAGAGCATAGTCAAATGAGTGTAATTCCTTTCGTCTCATTGTGGAGCTGAACACACAAATATAAAGACATAGACTTTGCCCCATGGATAAGTGACACATCAAATCAAATTATGTATAGTTCCAGTTTAACTGTGTGGCCATATCATTGTAGCAGCTTTCCCGTTGGCTTCGATCATTGTTTGAGGGCTTGTCTTCACATCCATAATTTGGTTGCATACCTGTGTTGGCTTCCCTTCCATGTTGGCGACGAGTTTGCTAATTATGCTTTAAAAAGTTGTAGCATTTCTTGAACAAATTAGATTCATACAATAACAGAACCATCACCCTTGTTCCTTCACTAGCTCCTCCTCGTCCTGGAAAGCATTCTCCAAGCTGCGGCACATCTACATATTGCCCACCTTGATATCTGGTCCATGTTTCCAAAGACTCTAGCTTGATTTCTTATGGAGCATTCCTTACCTGGAATTCACAGCAGCAAGCACATGAATTTGCAGTACTGAGTCAGCGTCGTGAGAACTCTCAAGAACCAAGAGAGATATAATAAAATAGTTTAAAGAGTGAAGACGTCCAACTTACAAAACAATCGTCGTGGAAAGGAGTCCGAAATGGAATAAGAGAGCCTGCCAACCGTCTTCCATTCCCCAGTAGCCCTGCTGAGCACCATAGCCCGCCACCTGTGCTGCTGCTACTCATGGAACCAAGAATTACTGTAAAGCTGTGATTGGAGAATGCTTTCCAGCTATTGAAGGCCTTCCGCTATAGTGCCAACTTTCAATTGCTGTGATACAGATTGGAACGCTAATTATGCAATTGTCGATGCCCTACAGTTGCACGCCGATAGGACAGGATGACCATGTGACAGGATATGCTAGGAGTAAGAATCTAATGTCTTGTTAACTCCTTGATATTTCTATCTTCTCTCTATTGGATGCCTACAGCTAGCGTATTTTAAGTAGCTCATAAATAGGCTCATTTCTGATCGTCTAGATTCAAGTATACAATTATTGTGGATATTCATTTGAGTAGCTCAAATGAACTAAAGACTTCGAGGAAGTCTTTAGTTATGCTTTTGGGTCTGGGTCTGTCGTTGATAATGACCACCTTGCAAATCTATCTAAAACACACATATAAATGAAATGTATGAGAAAGCACTACAATGAGGCTAGAAAGGTTATGGACACCAGCGCCAAGTTCCTGCGTTTACATGCAATTCCCCCTTAGTGTGCTATTTTCACGGTAAATAGTTTCTGCAGCACCTAGTGTGTTACACCATAAACGAAGTAACCAAAATACGAAGAAAAGTGTTTAGAATTTTTGTTTAGAAATTTTCATTATTCTAGATATACCCTTCCTTTGTCTGTTGATGATTGCCTTGGAAACCAAACCTTAGTAGCAAATGCTTTGTGTACTAGCTTATTTCTTCAGTAATGTATGATCCAGCACCTGCGATATGATGTATGTGCACTAAGAGTTAGTAAGTATTAAGAATACTTGATCCATGAGCTTTGTTTAATCCATATTTGTTTCCTAAGCTGCGAATAAAGATTTTTTGCGCCAGGTTTCTCTCGAGTTTCTTTTGGAAGTAAATGCGATGCTTCCTGGATTTAATGGTGCAGCCAAGCTTAAAAATGTGTTCTCAAGAATAGGCCTGGCTTCTTGGAGTCTGTCTCGACACTAAACACAAGCTCTATTACAATGTCATGCTGGATTGTTTTGGATTACCATTGCTGTTGATGACAGGATCCTGGAAACTAAAGCTGTAATCCAAGATAATGGGACGGAACAATACCACCTCAAAATTGGAAAAAGAGGAAAGCTTTGATCAACTTTACAGAGGAGACATGAGACTTTCAGAAAAGTCTGTACATGTGACAACAGCAAGAAGCTGCTTCAGAGCCTTGAGAACTTGATGTTTGTTTGCAAGTCACCTCTTGAAACAAGATGGTCGATTGGAAGTTTCTCTTATAAACTTATAGTTTATGGAAGCATGCATAAAGATCCCAGAGAACACACATATTTAAGAGAAAACACATTTCAGTGCTTTACCTTTAGTACGTAAGTGTTGTTTATGTCAACCAGGGTGGCCATCTGTCTTTTACATCAAGTGATGTCTGCCAGCTATTTGCATACTTCCCAGCCCACACGGCTGGATGATATTCTCCCCTATGCACAGAAACATGAGCTCTCATATTGCGAGATAGCAAGAAAAAACAAAATACACATTGCGTAGAGTGGATAACCTACTATAAGATAGTAGTAAAGTTCTTCTTTTTTCCTTTTCTGACCAGTTTCACTTGCAGCATAGACTTGCTAGTGGATGACAATAATTTGTGGGCATTTCCTGCTGGTCCCAGAGGCTGGAATGGTGAGATCAGTGGTTGGCTTTGCATAAATTTCTCAAGTTTCTCTCTTTCAGATCCTGGCATGCTCCAAGTGGGGAATGGTCGAATGTCCTTAGCTGAGTATCCTTCACATTTCAGCATTTGGTCTATCATGAAGGTTTGCATGCTCATTTCTCATTAATCTAGACTAGAGTGCCTTGCCTCAAGCACCTCTCATCATTGGCTGTGAGTTGAGAACAATCACAAAAATACACCTCAAAATTTACAAGAACATCCAGATAATAGTGGTAAACCAAGGTAAGTTCTTTAGGATTTGAGCCACTACTTTCTCAGTATCTTTCTTTTGACATGTAGATTCATTAGGAATACAGGGACGCAAAGTGAGCCAGATACGACAGTTTGAAGTAATTAC